ATCTTGCACTATGAATGTAGGACCAAGTAATCATTGTTGTTGTATAGGAGTCTTCTTAACTCTGCCAGCTCCCTCCAGATCTTCTCAGAGCCCAATGTAGTAGCCAGCTCAACAGTGTAGGTGTTTGACAAATATTTATTGAAAGAGTGAATGAATCAGTCACTTTGGCTTTCGCTTTCCCAACAAGATAATCCTTTGAAAAATTAATCGAAATTCTGAACTACTTCTTAGATGAAACTTCGGACCTCATTCAGAGAAGGCAAGGCAGGAAGCATCTTGGTTCTGGATAGAGGCCTGACACTAAGGTACATTAATACTCTGACAATTGGTGTGACATGGTGACTTAGATTTATGCAAACTTGTGTAAATCATGATCACTCCTCTGCATGGGGACAGGGGCCATTCCAACGGCCACCCGATCCCATTTCTACTTCAGTGACTATCAACCTGGACTGGACATTAGCATCCCTTAAAGACTTTTATAAAACTCCCTGGGACTCCAAGTATAGCACACAGGTAGAATGCTTGTCTAGCATGTGTGATGTTCTTGGTTTGATTCCCAGCACCAAAAGAAGAAAAAAAGTGAATATTTAGCTGATGTGATGTGACTCGTGCCTATAGTCCCAGCTACTCAGATCACTTGAGTTTAGCAGTTTAAGACCACCCTGGGCAACACAGTGAGACCGAGTCTCAAAAGAAAAAGAAAAGAAAACCCCTGGACCACATCCTGGACCAATTAAAGCAGAATTGCTGGAGGGAAGACCCAGGATCCCTGTGGTTCCAAAAAGCAGTCAAGCTTGGGAAGTACTGCTGTCTTCCCAGTCAATCAAACTGCCTCTCAGTTCACAGTCGGCTGGGCCCTCTCCGCCCTGCACATGGTTTGGCTGCTGGCCGGGCCCATCCATCTGTTTGGTGGCAGCAGTAGTCATTGCTGCTTCTGTTTTCTCATCCTTCTTATCTCTGCATATTCATATGCAATGTCTCCACCCTGATTTAGAGGGCTGGAACAAGACTTTTGCAAGATTTTATAACTCATGGCAGCACAACAAATGCACCTACATTTCCTTAGATGTGCACATGTGTTTGTGTGTATATATAGATATATCCTGCCCAGAGTTTAACTTTGCTTTAGTTATTTCTTCATGCTCAGAAAATTGGATGAGCAGACTTCTCTAGTTTCAACAAGAGGTGCCAATTTTGATTTGTGATGGATCTTTTGCACCCCCTAGTGGTACTACTGGCCCAAGTCAGCTTGGTTCAATAGGTTTTACTAGACTCCTAGCCTCTTGGTTCCCAAAGCACCAAGGGAGACTGCCTTCAAGGGTCTTTAGCCCGTTGCTGCTGTGTTATCCTAGTAGTGCTACTTACCCTCATAAAGAAAAGAGCCTGGCGCTAGTGGCTCACGACTGTAATCCTGTTTCCTCAGGAGACAAGAAATCAGGAGGATTGAAGTTTGAAGCGAGCACGGGCAAATGATTTGTGAGACCCTATCTCAAAAAAAACTTTCAAAAAATAGGGCTGGTAGAGTGGCTCAAGGTGAAGGCCTTGAGTTCAAACCCCAATACAGCAAAGAAAAGAAAGAAAAGAAACCAAAGAGCATGTTTCAAGTCCTCTGTTAGTTAGAGCACTTACCTAGCTCTGAGTTCAAATCCCACTACCACCACCAAAAAAAAAGAGGTGACAATTGTACTCTTCTAGTAGGGTTATACTATGAAGTACTACCTAGTATTATTATAATCTTTATCAGCAAATATGTCTTAAAGGTCCTACTTTTACTCTAGAAAGATTTGCTCACTTGATTCTTTCAAGCAATACACAAATCATATTCAACTTATTTTGTTAACATGTGAGAGACCACCAAGGTCATCTGTGTCTTCCTCAAGCCAGTTGATAGACTTTCATTTATTCCTGGCTTCAGGGCATTTCCTCATAGCTCTTACCTAAACCGTGGGCCAGCAAACTACAGCTGGAGCTGAAAATCTAACGCAAGGCCTGTATTTGTAAATAAAGTTTTATTAGAATACATCTATACTCATTTGTCCTGTGGTTGCTTTCACACTCACAGCAGAGTTGACTACTCCAGCAGAAACCACACAACCTGGCCTTTCCAGGAAACTCTCTCTGTGCTTTATGTAGATTTTGACTCTTTCTGGGATTAACACAGCTGTGTTTGGAGATCCCAAGCACAGAACATCCCAGGTAGCCTAAGATGCAAAATCAGTGTTCATTCTTCTTCCTGCCACCCAGAATACCCTGGCCCCAGCTCTCCCTCCTACCCTCTTCTTAAAGTTAAAAGTCTTAGTATCTGAAATGCAATTGTCTTGGAGAGAGAAAAAAATGAAAAAAGATCTTTTGAATTCATAGTCTGATTACTATTTTCAGCACCCTTGTTTTTTCCTAAGGACTAGAATTATTAAACTCTTAACTTTATTTCATCCCCCAAGTAACCAGAAAATTACATGCCTTCTTTTCTCAAAGACTAATAATGTAGCTTTTTAAAAAATCATGGTATATAGCTTTCTTAAGTATTATTATTGGATATATGGTAGTTTCCACTGCAGTGCTTTCTCCATACCAACAGATAATAAAGGAAGTTACTGTCATATTTTTAAAAAGCATGATACAAACTGGGAAATAGACATTTTAAAGCAAAATTGACACAGTGCAGTGAGACTGATGTATATGCCCTACAACTAGAGTAAAGTAAGATTTTTGTGACAAAAGAGAAAATATTAGAATTATTGAGAGTTGGGAAAAAAGAGACATTTGGAGAGAATGAAGGTGGTGAGGAGCAGTATGAATCTAGCCATGGAAACTTCGTTGGGAAGACAGCGATGGAGATGTGTAGAATAGTATATGTGGCCCAGGGATCCCTTGTGTGAATGCTGGAGAGTACAGGGAATGTAGGAAGTCATACAAATAGCCACAGCCATTCTCCTTACTGTTTACAAATTTGCCAGCCTGTGGCCCAAGACCTGACCCTGACAGCCAAATCTTCACTCACAAAAGGATCTTACAGTGACTCAAAGAATCAGGAGCCCCAGGGAGAGCCCTCACATGGCCACCCTTAGAGCAACAGGATTTTTGAAGCACTTATAGCAGTGTCCTAGAAGTTTCCATCCCACAGTTTCCATCGCCTCCAACTGTCATCACATTACTAATCCATCACTGGATTAATCCTTTTATGAAGTCAGAGACTCAATGATTGGATCCATCAGCTGGGAAACTAAGCCTTCAAAAATGAGCTTTTTGTTGTTACTGTATGGCTTTTTTTTAATTTTATTTTTTTTGAGACAATCTCACCATGTAACCCAGGTTGGCTTCAAACTCTTGATCCTCCTGCCTCTACTTCCCAAGTGCTGAGATTATAAGTGTGAACCACCACTCTCAGTTCTCTTCTCCATTGTTTTGACGGTCCTATAATACTGTAAAATGTATTTAGTCAACATTAGGAGCATCCCAACAAGCTCTGCCCAGGAATGCTCTCTTCCCTTTCTGCCCTAGACAGTTTGGTTTTGCTTTTAGCTGTCTTTTTTACATTTGCTACTTACCAGGTTACAATATCATTTATTTATTCTTTAATTTGCAATGTTTTTTGCCTTTCTCCTTACTTCCTCATAATGATATCTTATTGTTTGTAATTCAGTTGCTTTGTGAGATCCCAATTACATTAGTAGTCTAAGGGAAGATAATACTATTACGTTTTTTATGATTTTTCAGAAGTAGTTCTATTTAAATGACTCTTCTAAACCAGAGATGGTCTTGACTGTCAAAAAAGTGAACATTTATTTTACTTTAGAAAGTTTCTTGTACTTTTTTATCCATTCATCTGTTGATGGGCATGTGGATTGATTCCTTAACCATTGTAAATAGTGCTGCAATAAACATGAGTGTTCAAGTATCTCTATTGCATGCTGACTTACATTCCTTTGACTATTTGCCCCAGAAAGGTGTGGTGTAGCAGAGTGATACGACAGTTCTGTTTTTATTTTTTGAGGAACCTCCACACTGACTTTTATAGAGGCTGCACTAATTTAATTCCCACCATCAGTAAATATGGGTTCCTTCCCTCTACTGCATCCTTTCTAGCATTTGTCATTGTTTTCTTATGGTAGTCATTCTGACTGGTGTGAGATAGAATTTCCAAGTCATTTTTATTTGCAGTTCCTTTATACCGATGCTGAATGAGAAATTTTCATTTGAGAAGTGACTTTATCAATCCTGAAATCCCAGTAATCAGGAGGTAGAGGCAAGACAACTGCACATACAAGGCCAGCCCCAGCTACATAGGGAGACCCTGGCTCAAAAAGCCAATAGACAGACAGGTAGATGATAGATAGATAGTAGATAGATAGATGATAGAATAAAAAGTGACTTTAGAGTTGATTCTTGAAGACACAGTAAGATTTCAGAAAGGGGACTGAATGGTGTTTTCGTGGACCTGAAAATATTTTAACATGGTTGGAACCTAAAGTTCCAAGAAAGAAGTAAAAGACGATGAGGCAAGAAAGGCAGAGAAAAGCCAGTCCTTATGCAGACTTGTAGGATATACTAAGGAGTTTGATGTCTGTCCAATAAGCCATGGAGAAACCACAAAGGACTTGGGGGGAGTGGGGGAAACATGGTCTTATTTGTATTTTGAAAGGTTTATTTTCTGTAAGGCATCTCCAGGTCAGATGCAAAGTGAGGACAATCTTGAGAGGTACTAGTACATGCTTGGTCTTCCCTTAGTGAAAGTGACATGATAGGGTCATCACTCTTTATACAAATTATTATTTAAAAAATACTTATGCTTGTAAACAGTCCCTCTACATTTACAAAACACAGTACCCAATTTAGAATTTTTCGTATCTCATTTCAAATCTCTTTACTGTTTTGTTTCCAATCTATGACACAACCACTTTTTTTTTAATAATCTATTTGGGTTCCATCTAAGAAAATGCAATCCTTAATAAGTAAGTAAAATGGTAAATGTGCTTCCCTCACTGATGTGCTGGTAAATGCTTGACAACCAGCTCCAAGAGAAAGAGGAGCATATCAGTGGTGAAAATGCTCCTACAAATAGCCAGTTGATTTCAAGCTACCAATGTCATCCCACCGAGCCAGGAGTTGAAAAGGTACATGCAGTAGGTCATTATCCAGCATTCCCACCACCATACAACAGTGAATAACCAAGAGCACAAGAGCAACAAGTAAAGAAATGTTCAGGAAAGGGTGAATTTTGAGTACACATTATCTTTGTTTTAATATTATTTATTTGATTATAAGTTTACAAGAATGCAAAAATTACAAACTTTAAGAATGGCCTTTCTTAAAATTTAAATTTCCTAAAAATTTAACAATCAGGTCTCAAGAGTCCGTAGAAGCCTGCTTGAGCCCATCACTGTACATTCTTCTCTTTTCCAAATAACTGAAGTGATGTTTAAACTGTTTAACTCTGCTACATGAAGTGGGGAAAGCTGAAAGAAAAGCAATGGAGGGAAAGCAGTGCCACTGTGGAGTGGTCCAAGGTGTAATAATCGGTGGTAAATTTACTAAGAAGTTTTAACTCTGTGCTACTTCACATACCAATTATTACATAGCTACATTTTTCTAATGTAAAAAATTATGGTTTCATTTTTGTTTTTGAGACATGATCTCACTGTGTAGCTCAGGACGGCCTCAAACTTGTGATCCTCCTGCCTCAACCTCCCGAGGGCTAGGATTATAGGTGTGTGTTACCACACCTGGCTCAGTGGTTGGTTGTTTTGTTTTGTTTTGTTTTGGTGGAATTGGGCTTTACACGTGTAAAGCAAGCGCTCTGCCACTTGAGCCACACCTCTAGTTAATTTTGCTCTGATTATTTTGGAGATGATGTCTTGAAAGCTGTTTACCCAGGCTTGCCTTGAACTGTAATCGTCCCTATCTCAGCCTCCCGGGTAGCTAGAGCCGGGAGGCATGAGCCACCAGCACCTGGCTTCTGACTCAGTGTTCTTTTTATTATTGATCAAAATGCTAAATAATGAAAAACATAAAAATAATAAATATTGATCAGGACTATAAAACAGATTTTCATTTCATTTGGCTAGATCATAAATAGTAAATTATGTAGCAAAAATGAAGCTATTTAAGCTCTACATAAAATGATTGAGCATGGGCTACAATGCAGTGTTGTCTATAAAATGCCTCAAGTCGTACCTTCTGTGCAAATGTCTGTGAGCGGAAAAAGAGCATTTTGCAAAGGATTAATATTCAGAATATACAGGGACTTAAAAACCTCATAACAACAAAAAAAAATCCAATTAAAAATGGTTAGCAGGGCTGGAGGTGTGCTCAAGTGGTAAAGCACTGCCTTGCAAGGGTCAACCTGAATTCAAACCACAGAACCACCAAAAACAAAAAAATGGACAAAAGTTATGAAAAGACAAAACCACAATGAGGTATCATTTCACTCCAGTTAGAATGGCCATTATTAAAAAGACAAAAAGTAACAAATATTAACAAGAATGTGGAAAAAAGGGAACTTTTATACACTGTTGGAGGGAATATAAACTAGTACAGCCACTATGGGGAACAGCAGGCAGGTTCCTCAAGAAACTAAAAATAGATCTACCTCTGAGGTAGCTACCACATTCTGGCCATACATCCAAAGAAAATTGTATCAGCATATCAAAGAGATTTTGCACACCCATATTTGTTGCAGCACTATTCATAATAGCTAAGATATAAAATCAACCAAGATTCCCAACAATGGATATATGCAACAGACTATTATTCAACCATGTCCCAGCAAAATGGGTAGAACCAGAGAACTTAATGTTTAAGTAAAATAAGTCAGAAGCAGAAAGACTAATGCTACGTGCTCTATCTCATATGTAGATATTTTTAAAAAATCAATCAGAATGTATAATACTGGAAGCTGGGAAGGATGGGAGAAAAGGTAGATTAATAGAGGTTGGATGACAGGTACCCAAAGACAGTTAGAAGGAGATATAAGTTCTAGTGTTCTGCAGAACTCTGAGGTGATTGTATTTCACAGAAACTTGTTATATACTTTATGAACATCTCGAAGAGAAGAGCTAAGGACTCCAAACACAGGTTTGATAAGGAGATGGGAATGATAATTACCCTGATTTCAGAAGGATAGATAGATCGATCTATAGATAGACAGACAGACACATGGATGATAGATACACTTACATTTTATATTATATACCCATATAAGGAGATGGAAATGTTAACTACACTGATTTGATCACTTCACACTGTATACGTGTAACAAGTATCATATTCAGGGTACAATTTATAGGTACCCTATAAATTTGTACAATTAAAATAATAATCAAAAAATAAAAATAGAAAAACAACATGCAGCAGTGAAATGAAATGTCATAGAGAATTCACGTGACACCTTACCAAGAAATGGGTCAGTCCACACTGGCCCAGAATTTGATCCTCAACATTAATTAATTAATTAATTAATTAATTAATTAAATACTTTAAAAAAGAGTAGATCCCGCATTAAGGCAACAAAGGTAATTAACTCAGAGTGGATGAACAGGAGCCCTCCTCTGGCAGACTGCCTGGGTGACAGCCAGTGAGAGCAGGCAACTTCTGCTGCAGCTTGCGCTCTGCTTCCACTGTGTGGCGGAGGAGCTGCTGGAGACCCAGGCCACCTTCATGCTTCTCCAGAATCAATGCTCTGGAAACCAGGAAGCGAGGTGGGGGTGACAGTTAGGCAGGTCTGGGTGGGAACCCTGGTTGCTTGTGGGGGTCAAGTTACTTAAGGTGTTTGAGCTTCAGTTTCCCAAAATATAAAAGGCAAAAAGAAAAAAGAATATCTTACCAAATGCTGTTGAAAAGAAAAGAAAAATCAGGGGAAAATTGCTGTTGAAAATTAGACATAGCATACTCCACATAACAAGTAGTAGACTGATATCATTGAAAAGAAGGATCCAGAGCTGTTCGATTAGTTCTTCTTGTTTCATTCTTAATATGGCCCAGATTAGAAAATGCTTTCTTTATTGCCTTTTTTCCTTCATCCTCCTATTCAGTGGATATTTCCTTTTACTGTGTCAAAAACTGTGCTAAGCTCCAAGCATACAATGTTAAAGAACAATAGTAACAAAGCTAACTTTTGTTCAGCACTGACCATTAAGTACAAGATACCTATCTTTGCCTCTACCTAAGCTATGTAAGTGGGGTCAGTATCCTTAAGCCAATAGCTAAAAAAAAATTGGTCATATAAAGTCACTAATCAAAATCAAAAGAGAAAAACATTGTTTGCATCAACCTCATTTTCTCTTGGTAATTGGTTTTCTCTTGTCATACCCTTGGAAGTAAGGGAAACTTAACAGTGGAAGAAAAATAGTACACAGAGAAAATGAAAACTGGACAAGTCCACAGGATTAACATCCAGTTCCCTTTTCAGATTTGTTAATGACAGATTTGTTCACAAAGACACAAACTCTAGAAAATCTCGCTTTTAATTTTCTTTGTATTTTCTCCAGATTATGTATATCAGACTTATTTTTCTTCCTTGTATTTCCTTTTTTAAGTTTGTCTAAAATATGTCTGGTGTAAGGAAACCAATATTTACATAACCACCACTCAGGGACAAAAAATGCACAGATTAGTGTTTTTGGTGTAGGAGAGTGAGTCCCAGTGAAACCTAAATGCTGATAAACAAATTTAGAACCAAAAGTAAATACCAAACAGCTAACTTAAAACACAGACTTCCTTTACTTTCTATTGAATAATTTTGCTTAAATGTCTTTGAGAAAAAAATAAAGCCTATCCTGAATAAAGAAAAGAATGATGAAAAAAATGTGGAAAAAAGTAAGAATGTTGGGGATAAGTGATTCAATGATAATTAGAATATAATTAAGTTGGAGCTAATTATACAATAGCAAAGTGGGGTTTGAGTTTTTTAACCCCTAAAGCAATTTGAATTCACCACAGTAAGCTGCCAATTAGGATAAGTAATGGGCATTTTCTTTTTAAACTCTAACCTTCCTAATCTTCCCACTTTTCACCAACGGACAATAAATCTTAGTTCGTAGACCTAAGTAAGCGATTCCTAGCCTGGGATCCATGAATGTTATTTTAGGAGTCTTTGAGCCATTTAATAGCTGAGAAACACCAACAGGTTTAACATTTATCAGCAATAAAGCTGCACAGCCTTATTAAAATGTTACGCTCTTTGCTTTCATCAGGAATTTTATGAAATTATCCCAGAAACTGGTTACCTTAGGCAGACTAGCTATTGCTGCATCATGGAAGTTATTGATAACGTATTGTTTTAAAGCCTGGAGCTCAAGTTAAGGGAGCCATGTGGTAACAGACCTCTGGTTCTTCAGGCTCTGAGAGCAGACTTAGTTGGTAAGTGTGCTGTGTTTAAACAAGAGAGGCCTGGCCAGCTAATCCAGCAGTATAATGCAGAAACCGTTCATCTAGAAATCCACAGAGGACGCCGGTGGGGCCGTCTCGGGTCTCGCCCCAGGCTGCACCTTCCGCCTCGCAGGCGCCGGGGAGCGCGAGGTGCAGGTGGGCGCCGCGGCTGCCTCGGGCCTGGCCCGGCCGCAGCCTCCTCCACCTCCACCGCCGCGGGCTCGGAGGGCGGCGGGATGCAGCCGCGGGCCCGCCGCCGGCGAACGCCCCCGCGAACGGGGACCTCACCTTTGTCTCCTCAGCCCACGCGGAGGATCTCAGTGGGTCTTCAGCATCCACAGATGTCAAATTAAACCTCGGTGGAGACTTTATCAAAGAATCTACAGCCGCCACATTTGTGAGACAAAGAGGGTATGGTTGGCTTTTGGAAGTTGAAGATGATGATCCCGAAGATAACAAGCCACTCTTGGAAGAATTGGATATCGATCCATAGGACAGTTACTACAAAATCCGATGTGTTTTGATGCCAATGCCATCTCTTGGTTTTAATAGACAAGTGGTGAGAGACAATCCTGATTTTTGGGGTCCTCTGGCTGTTGTTCTTTTCTTTTCCATGATATCATTATATGGACAGTTTAGGGTGGCCTCATGGGTTATAACCATTTGGATATTTGGTTCATTGACAATTTTTTTACTGGCCAGAGTTCTCGGTGGAGAAGTTGCATACGGCCGACTTCTTGGCGTCGTAGGATATTCATTACTTCCTCTCATTGTCGTAGCTCCTATACTTTTGGTGGTTGGATCATTTGAAGTGGTGGCTACACTTACAAAACTGTTTGGTGTGTTTTGGGCTGCCGACAGTGCTGCTTCATTATTAGTGGGTGAAGAATTCAAGACCAAAAAGCCTCTGCTGATTTATCCGATCTTTTTATTATACATTTATTTTTTGTCCTTATATACTGGGGTGTGATCTAAGTCATACATGAGCAGGAAAAGACCATGTTACTTTTGTAGGTAGGCTGGGAATTCTTGCTGAAAGACTGTAGAAAACATTGCTGGTAAAATTTTACACATCCCAGATGTAAAGGCAAGTTTAAGGTCTTTTTAAAACAATAATTTTTGTATTTAATTAAAGCAGTTATCTGGGATTTTTTGGTCAGAATTCTTAGTTCTGTTTGATTCTTCATACATATTCCAGTGAATAAAATATAAAAGCATTGTGTTTTTAAGATTGTGTCAATATTCACCTAAAAACTTGTGCCAAAAGCACCTGGATCATTAATTATTTTTCACTTGAAGGACAGATTTGACAATATCTTGATAATCTAAAAGTGCAATTTTTTTTTCTTTAAAGAGTTTTCTCATGCATCGCAGATCCTGTAGATACATATTTATATTTATACATATATATTTATGAAATAATTCTTATTTACAAAATATGTTTCTGAATAGCCTAAAAACTAAGGTACTAAATCTGATGCTTAAACTTTCTTTAATTTGGCCATTAATCTTTTTTATTTAAAAATTTTAATTTGTTTTTTAAATTGTATGTAATTTTTAAAAGAATAGTTGCTGATACAGATTTGGTTTGTGTGGATATGCTTTTAAAAACCACTTTTGAACGTCTAAACATCTGATTTAATGTTTCTGTTTATCTCTCTGACCAAAGGTGCAAGTGGTGTAATGGATATGGCATTCTTTGAAATCATTAATATATAGGAAGACAGTAATATTTATAGCATCAGTAAATATTTTTTAAGTGATACTCCTAAATCAGAAAAATTATGGGAAAGAGACCTTTAAAGTCCTATGGTCCCGAACAACGTTATATGGAGTAGAAAATAAAATGTTTTCCAGCAAAAAAAAAATATAGAATCCATAAATTTCCATACTAGTGTACATTAGTTTAGGGAGAAAACAGAATTGGGATGGTTTTTGTTTTGGGAGGATGGGAAGAGTTTTGGAGGGCCGTACTGCGACTTGAACTAAGGACCTTGTGCTTATTAGGCAAATGCTCTACCATTGGAGCCACCTCCCCAGTCTGACCATTCTATTTTTTAAGGGATAGTATCACTAATTGTTGTATCTTAGATTTCTGGACCACATGGAATGTGGTCATGCATTTTGACTATGATTTTAGTTCAGGGTTTCAATAGACATTTGAAAGCTACAACACCAAATATTTACACTTTTAGTGTGTTTTTCTACTTCTTTTTTGCCTTTATTGTTGGGCTGGGTTGGGGCACATTGATTTTTCTACTCTTAAGATATGTTTCACATGAGATGCTCTTAAACTGTCCTCTGTAATCTCAGCTTTTTTTATTCCATTCTGTAGGAGTCTAACATAATTTGATATATGACTTTTACCTCCCAGAGTTTCTTTTTTTTCCCCCCTCATTAAACTTTGCTTTAATAGCTCTCAAAAATCGGTGACAGATTTTTGTCAAATTGTCACCACTAAAAAAGTATTGATTTTAAAAACAAATAACTTAAACTGCCACACAAAGAACAAATAGTCCACAAAACATTCTACTTTCCTTCTGAAGGCTTTACAATGCATTGTTATCATTAACCAGTCTTTTACTACTAAACTTAAATACAGTAAACTTTTGGTAACTTCCTGTGGCAAAGTTGTGAAGACTAATATGTAATGTGTTGTTCATTCAGAATTATGAAATTTCATGTTGCAAAAAGGAAGTTTAAGGAGACACTACGCCCATATGATGTCAAAGATGTCATTGAACAATATTCCGCAGGTCATCTGGATATGCTGTGTAGAATTAAAAGCCTTCAAACACGGTAAGCAATGAAAATGTCGTTTGTTGTAAAGGAATGGGCATGGAAACTCTGGGAGGAACTTCTCTTTAGTAAACGAAGACTCTGAATTCCATGGCTCTAATTTATTCTTAGTGGGCAACTGGACTTTAGCTTGCTATACAGGCGCTCTACCACTTGAGCCACTCTGCCAACCCCGGACTTTAATTTTTAATATAGATGTAAATCAGGCATTAAAAGCCTCCAACTCTCTCAGTTTCTTCATCTGTAAAATTGGAGAGAACGGCTGGAGATGTGGCTCAAGTGCTGAAGTGCCTACCTAGCAAGTACGAGGTCTTGAGTTCAAACTCTAGTACTGAAAAATAAAAGAAACATAGAATGTTAGCGCTTGTCTCATAGGGTTGACCTGAGGATTGAATGAGCCAATAATAATATGTAAATGCCCTGGCTCTGAGTATTCAGTAAAGGTTAATGGTGGGCTGGAATGCAGCTCAGTAATTAATAATTAAATGTCAATGGCTGTTGCTGATGCTCAAATTATTATTGCTTTGTCTATTGCTATTGTTTTATTATCTGAACCCTTCAGGAATAAACAAGTCTTTCTCCTTCATTAAGCTTATCCAGCCCCTGAAGACAGATTGACGTCTATAGCATTAAAGCCTACCACAGAGCATAAGAGCACTGACAATCTTGTTACATGGCTGGAGAGTTGAGACTTGGCCCTGTATTGCTCCTTGGTTGCTCTCCCTTCAGAGTAGGTTCTTGCCTTCATTGGTGTCATGTATGAGCTGGATATACACCATCCTTCTAGTGATTAAGGAAATGAGTTTAGTATGCTAATTCCAACTGTATGTGGATGACTGATCGCATCATCTTCAAGCCAAATATTTAGTTAGTCAATTCAGATGTTTCTAAGAGTCTTACTTTCAGGCACAAATTACCAGCATTTATGATTAAGTAGTACTTATAATGTAAGGACTGAGTTAAATATTTTTGGAATACCCACAGCACTCTTTTCCAAGTGAAGCTTATACTAGGATCTTAGTAAAATATCTTTTGATAACTTTGTTCATTCTTTCAGCCTATTACATGTGCCAGGCGTGGTGGACATCCAGAGACTCATGAAACAATCACCCAGTCACTGCAGCACTTACAGCTTCACTGATTAGATGCCTTAGCAGAAACTAGACACTGCCTATTTTCTATGCAGACTGGAAAGTTGAATCAATACTCCTGATAATTCAAGTCTAAGACACACACAAAAAGAAGAAAGTGATTTCCAATTTGGCTGATCAAGCCTCCTTAGAAATTGCTTTAACTCATCCTATGATTATGTGATAATCTCGGCCTCAGTGACTGTGGTATTCTAAGCTTTCCAAAACTTCTACTGCTACAGAATTAATCTTGAGTTTCTAGCTCATATATATTCTCTCAATTCAAATTCCAAAAGAAAGAGACCACAGCTTTCTTATCTAATTATCATCCATATATCAGATGTATAGTAAATTCTCATTGAATAGTCTGTCTTATTGATGCAAAATAACCACAATTATGATTTTGCCATATTTTGAAGTGGTTGAATTCAGAACTGCCCCATCCAAGTGGAAACAGACAAATTATTTTATTCAGGACAGTTTTGCCTCCAGAAGGTCACCACAGGTGAAAACTGATCACATGTATAATCTCGTGTTAAGAAAATAAACACATCAACTGGAACACATTCATCCTTATTTCATCTTACTTAACTTAAAGACACTTGTATTTACTTTTTCCTTCCTTTTCCCCTTTGGTAGTAACTGAAGTTTTTGAACTCAGGGCCTTGTGCTTGCTAGGCAAGCGCTCTACCACTTAAGCCATGTCCCCAGCCCTTTTTACTTTAGTTTGTTTTTCAGGTAAAGTCTCCTGCTTTTGTCCAGGCTAGCCTTGGATGGCAATCCTATCTTCACCTTCTGAGTAACTGGCAATACACACCTGTATACCACCACACCTGGCCCATAGTTAATTTTTTTTTTTTCCAAACACTTTGGTCTGGCCTAGGGCAATCTCCATCTTCAGTCCTCATAATCAGATATCCTCTTTCTCTGATAGTGTTGATCAAATTCTTGGGAAAGGGCAGATCACATCAGACAAGAAGAGCCGAGAGAAAATAACAGCAGAACTTGAGACCACAGATGACCTCAGTATGCTTGGCCGGGTGGTCAAGGTTGAAAAACAGGTAAAACTCAAGTTTTTCTTTTTTATCAAAATTGATTATAAGAAATTGAAGCATTAAGATTGAAATTAATCTTAATATATTTTAAGGAACAAAATGAAGAAAGAGCGAATGAACAAAAATTTTCTTTATGTACAGACAGCTCTCAAACACTTCTGAATTTCCATTTAAAAAATATAAAATTTTATCTCATCAATTAATACTTAAGTGGAAGCAACTAAAGATTTTCAGTAATGAAATAGCAAAAGACATTTTTTTCTTTGTTTTTTGATTATTTTCCCTGTCTCTCTCTTCATTTACCCTTTTTAAACATAAGACAAACCTTACCATAATTATGACAAACACTGGGTGTTTGTTAACCCTGAGGCTGTATCTTCTCATACAGATACAGAAGTCGAATCCCAATGAAATCATAAATATTCCAAGTATTAATTCTGAAGCATTTTGAGCATTTATTTTTAAATTCGTACTCACCTGGATTGATACCTAAGGTCTTAATTTCCTTATAGAATAAGTTCCTTACCAAAATCCAGTAGAGTTGCAGAAAGGCAGTCAGAAGAATGAGGAAACACGCTCTGATGGGGGTGGGGAATGTTGAAGTTGCACTTTTACAGTGCTTATATGACTTTTTAGAACACAAATCGTCCAGGTTAAAGAAGTGAAGGGAGGAGTGCCAAAGGGGTTATATGAAAGCCAAGGCCATGCCTCTCCCCACATCTCCTCCATCCGTATCACTGCCAGACACGACAGTCACCGACTCAAAACTACATTTACCTCATGCTCATTGTTCATTCCACTGTATCAACACACACTGATTTCATTTTTGATTCCAGAAGTGCAGTCAGCTCTTACTATCGGGGTGTCCTCATGTGTACCCATCTTCCCCACTTTCAGGTCCAGTCCATTGAATCAAAGCTGGACTGCCTGCTAGACATCTACCAACAGGTCCTCCGGAAAGGTTCTGCCTCCGCCCTCACTTTGGCTTCATTCCAGATCCCACCTTTTGAATGTGAACAAACATCTGACTATCAAAGCCCTTTGGATAGCAAAGACCTTTCTAGTTCTGCACAAAACAGTGGCTGTCTAACCAGATCGGCCAGTGCCAACATCTCACGAGGCCTGCAGTTCATTCTGACGCCAAATGAGTTCAGTGCTCAGACTTTCTATGCGCTTAGCCCTACTATGCACAGTCAAGCAACACAGGTGCCATTGAGTCAAAGTGATGGCGCCACAGTTGCAGTCACCAACAACATTGCAAACCAAATAAACGTGGCACCCAAACCAACAGCCCCAACAACTTTACAAATCCCACCTCCTCTCCCAGCCATCAAGCATCTGCCCAGGCCAGAGACCTTGCACCCTAACCCCGCAGGCTTACAGGAAAGCATTTCTGACGTCACCACCTGCCTTGTTGCCTCCAAGGAAAATGTCCAGGTTGCACAGTCAAATCTGACCAAGGACCGCTCTCTGAGGAAAAGCTTTGACATGGGAGGAGAAACTCTGTTGTCTGTCCGCCCCATGGTGCCCAAGGACCTGGGCAAATCTTTGTCTGTACAAAACCTGATCAGGTCAACAGAGGAACTGAACTTACAACTTTCAGGGAGTGAGTCAAGTGGCTCCAGAGGCAGCCAAGATTTTTACCCCAAATGGAGAGAATCCAAATTGTTTATAACTGATGAAGAGGTAGGTCCAGAAGAGACAGAGACAGACACTTTTGATGCCACACCGCAGCCTGCCAGGGAAGCTGCATTTGCGTCGGACTCTCTAAGGACTGGAAGATCACGATCATCTCAGAGCATTTGTAAGGCAGGAGAAAGTACAGATGCCCTCAGCTTGCCTCATGTCAAACTGAAATAAGTTCTTCGTTTTCTTTCTCGGCCTAGCAGTTCCTTTAGCCATACATACCATTGCATGAACTATTTTGAAAGCCCTTCTAAAAAGTTGAAATTGCAAGAATCAGGAAGAACATGAAAGGCAGTTTATAAGCCCGTTATCTTTTAATTGCATGAAAATGCATGTTTAGGGATGGCTGAAATTCCAAGGTGCATCAACATTAATCCACTCGTCTAGTAATGTACCTTGAATTTAAAATCCTGAGAAACCCAGCACTGCTAATGCTACAGAGTGTACAAAAATGGCAAGATGAGGTCATTTAGAAGAGTTGACACTGTATTTTTGAAATTGTGAGAGTAAACACCTTCAAATTTCAGGCATTTCTGCTTTGTGACTAAGTACAGAATACATTTTCAAAATTAGGCCATAGCGTATATTAAAACACAATGGCTGTCAACAGCTGCTAATGAGATATCAAGTAAAGCAGAATTCGGGGATAACAGACACAGCTGCTTATGTTAAGATAGCTATGCCAACCCATTTCCACTCAGTCATTTTATTATTAATGTAACTTGAATGTCAATTTGTGTGCTTTTGGTGATTTAGTGCTGTGGCAAGCAATTTTGCACATCATTTCCATGTTGTCTTTGATGACTGCAATGGTTTTCAATGAGGAAATGTGCAAAGAATGAAATTCAGGGTCAGTGGGGCAAAGAGAGTCACTTTTTGACAAATCCTTTAGAAACTTATTCCCCAGTGGCAGAATCAACTCTGTAAGTGGTCAGCTTCTATACAAGCTTGTGAGATGCTGGTCTGGGTGTCAGTCAGTGTGGCTGAACTGGTTTCTCCACAAAGGCAGGAGCTCCAGGCTTGCCAGTGCTGCCCACCTGAAGGGCAAGAGGGAGAAACTCTTCTCCAGGAGGTGACATAGAGGTAGAGCCCTGGGGGAGGGGGCATTTGAGTGGGATCGAGAGAGGAAAGGTTTGGAAAGAGTCTAGAAGCAACAGCAGGAAGTAGTAGAAGCCAAAGGGCAACAAAGAGAGAAACAAACCAAAATCAAATAACTAGATTTTTTAAGAAGTAAGAATTGCTAGGGAATTCAACTACCTACACATCCCTTATTCTTATAAACAGAGAATTTTGCAAAGTATTTATTTTTAAATATGCCCTGAATGTCTTTTGCTATTATGTAGTACATTTTGCATATGAAAGGCTAAAACTAAACTTCCTTTACTTTTTATACTATAGTGAAGATTTTCTATTGTTCCCAAGAATATTGTCCAAATCTCAAATTACTGGTTCAGTTTCCTGGTATAAACATTTAAATTAGAAGCCAGATAACAGGGTTTGCAAATCAAAACACTTCGTTATTACTATCATGGTAGCAAAAAGGCCAGGGGAGATTTTTTAAATGTATTTATCAGAAAGCAAGCAATGCCAACTGCTTATTTGTTAGAAAATAGCAGCCAGGTGTGGTGGTACACACATATAATCCCAGCACTCGGGAGGTGGAGGCAGGAGGACCACAAGTTCAAGGCCAACCTGGGCTACATAGTGAGACCCTGTCTCAAACCAAAAAAAAAAAAAAAAAAAAGAGAGAGAGAGAGAGAGAGAAGGAGTAAGGGATGGAAGGAAGGTTTCAAACTGTCAGAACTTTGACCGAAGTAATGGCATTCCAAAGGCAAGGAAAGGACAGACAGCATTTCACTCAGTTAAACTCTGGCCACAGAAGAACTCAAGAAAGGAAGAGGTTTTTCCCCGGTAAACATTTGAGCTGCCTCCAGAGAAGCTTCCCGGGCAAATGAGCAGGGATACCCACAGCCTATTCAAAGGAAGGAGGCCCTGAAATCCACCCCCCACACCACCACCACCAAATCCTCTCCCCCCAATGACATCCTCTGTCACTGGCTCTCTTTGCTTCCCTTCTTCCTTAATTGCTGTTGATTCCCTACCATGACTTTTGCTTAGATTTTCACAAGGCCTTAACCAACCTCCACCCCAAATAAACCAATTCTTCTCTCTACCTAAAATGTACCCTCCAGCTGTTTAAAATTTTTCCCCCTTTTGGTAAACACTGAAATTTTTAAAACTTCCTCTTCTCATCCCACTTGGATTCTCAATCACTTCCCTAGAGTGTATCATTTAGAATCTTCTTGGCTGCTGGAAACATACAGAAAATAACATTTAAATTTTATACTCCAATTAAAAAGATTTTTGTCAAAGCTTTTAAAGCAATTATTTTCATTTTCCAAACACAGAATGTTAGTCAATTATTAAATTTTTCATGTGCCCATGTCTCCACTAAACCTGAAATGAAGCATCCTCCTCTCCTCCAAAGGACATTGTACACATACACACATCCCTCCTCCGACCTAAAGCCAGACACCTGCCCCACACTCAGCAGGCTCTCTCCAAGTATTAGCTGAGGAAAAGGAGGGAGGCAGCAACCTTCAGGTAGCACTGATTCTTGGACATGCTTTGTCCCAGGCCGAACCCCACTGGCGGCAGGAATTGCGAATGTTTTGGAGACCCCTTCTTAGGCCTTGTCATGCCTCCAACAGTACAGTTCATCCAACATTGCTCAAGACTGAAGATAAAGCAACAAAGCCTGAACACATCACTGAGGTCTTAATCACAGCAAAATGTGACATACCTTGTTGCGAAAAATATTTGTATACTGAAGCCATGACTGTTTTGTGTCTGTCTTACTCTAGCACAAAAACTCTTGGATATAAAAACATGGTTGTATGGTGTGAAAGCTGTAGGGTTCTGTCTGTTGCATCCCTCTCTGTGGGAATGAGAGGGGTCTCCTGTTTAAACTTAGCAAAGTCCCATTGGTCAATCCCAAATGTGTCTTGAAGCACAATTTACTCAGTAGTAGTCACATGCTTTCTCGGTTCTATGTCTGCCTTCTTCAACATAGGGTTGATCAAGCTAACACTTCATTGCAAACATCCCATGTATGAGATTAACTAAAAACTTTGCTATGTCTGATCTAAATGTTTGCATTTTGTTAACTAAATTAATATCTGGAGATTGCAAGTTCTGCTTAACATCAGATACTTTATTGGGTTTTTAAGTCCTTACCTCTTGTTCTTAGGTGCCTTTCTCATCTTCCAGTGACTCAGTGATTTTGAAAGTTCTTAGTTTAAAAGTCAAGCAAGTCTAATAAAGAGTAGGAAATGAGGCACAATGTGGCTAAATTTCAAACCCATTTGCAGAGCAAAACTGTAAAGATGATGAAACTTGGGCACCTAAACAAATGGATGACTTCATTCAATCAAATTAAGGAAATATCATAAATATTAGCTCCCCAGACACTGGTCTTTTTTTTGCCTTAAATGACATGGTTGTGTTTTGTAAGAGAAACTTAATATAATTATGTGCATTCAAGTGAGCAGTTCTAAAAGTCATGTACGACAATGCAATTGTCTGTTTCCTGAAAACAACTGAATCGAGAATATCATATCCATTTCAAGCTATCATTAAAATGTAATTTCCTTTGCTCTCTTTTACTGGGATTATCTGTTTTAAAGTAAAACATTAAAAAGATGTCTATAACAGCTAGTGTGACTATTTTTATCGGGAGCTAACTGATTGGTTCTGAACTGACTGATCCAAGTCAACCAAACTGTATACAAGTTTGGACTGAAATATAAAACTTCTTTCTTTGAAATGTTGCTAAAGAAATATTTGTTAATTTAGGGGTGGAGATTTGCATATGCTCAAGGGTATTATAGGAAAAATTAATTTGGTGTGGATCATTACTTAAACAACTGTGCATTTGAGTATTTTGTTAACTACAAGTGAAGTATCCCTTATCTAAAATGCTTGGGACCAGAAACATCTTGAATTTCAGGTTTTCTTAGATTTTGGAATATTTGCGAATGTATAATAATACATCTTGGGGATGAGATCCAAGTCTACACATGAAATTCATTTGTTCCATGTAGAGACCATTCACAAAGCCTAAAGGTGATTTTATGCAGGGGTGTATGTGTGTGTGTGTGTGTGTGTGTGTGTGTGTGTGTGTGTGTGTGTGATTTGGGGATCAAAGCCAGAGCTTTGCCAATGCTAGGTAAGTGCTTTACCAGTAAGCTACATCCCCAGCCACTTATACAATAGTTTTAATAATTTGTGCAAGAACATTTTCATGGTATGGGATTTCCCACTTGTAGTGGTCATATCAGCACTCAAAAAGTTTGGAATTCTGACACATCTTGGATTCAGTTTTTCAGATTTGTGATATTCAATCAGTGTAATAAGACTGTTTGCTAAATAAGTGATAAGAAATAGAGGCCAGGTGGGTCCCAGCAGAGATTAGGTGGATGCACCTACCAGCTCCGGTTTACTAGGGGATGGCTTCTCTTCCAAAAGAGACTGTTTCCCTTCTTCCTTACAAAATTCCATTACTTCTATTCTATTAGCAACTTTGTGCTAAGTGACTGGGATTAATTCCAGAATCATTTACAAGGAGGCTCAGAATGTTAGAACTCCAGAATACACAGCCATAATACCCTAACAAAGATTTTTTTTAAGACAAAAGGAGAGAGAATAAGGAAAAGTGATTCTGGATATAAAAGAGGCTTCCTGTCCCTGCTCTAAAGAGCTCAAATGGGGATGTTCCTATTAACTTCTAAGCAAGTGAAAATAAAATTGTGTATGGAACATGCTTGCTTGACCAACTTTAAAGTGTAAACAGCTTCCAAACTTTTTAAACTATTTTAACAGTACCTCCCACTCGTACCACTTAAAAGCAAAATATATTTGCAATTATTCTACCCTAACTATTTATAAAAATAAGTTGCTGATCCTTGAAGTAGAAATTGTATTAGCCTGGTTTCAAATCATCCAAGAATCTGATGCAATTATTTCTTTGAAAAAATTGAAATTTGCATGAACTGCAACAAGACTTACCCTTTAACCCACATAACTCTAAATTACTCAGTTTTTTTTATTGTATTTCAATGCACTGCATTGAAATCACAGCACTTCAGATGCAACTGGCAAAACCTTCCTGTTCAAATAAACACAAAACTCAAAGGCACATTGATAAGATAGTCTTTGCTCACTCATGATTCACATCATCTCTGTCATTTTGGAATCTGATTTAAGTCCAGTCTGCACTAGGATAGACCTCAGGGTCCTAGGATTCCCATACACAGCTGCAGCACTTCTTTAAAACCTTTCACCTATATGGTTTTTTCTTAGCTTAAGTGGCACTCATCTCTTTACTTTTTCTTCCTTCTCTTTTCCTTTGTGTACATTGCTGTGACGGCTTTCCTATATTGTCAGCCCCTTGCCCATTCTTGTGCCCCAAGAATCTAGGTGCTCACACCTTCCCCTTGCTGCAGCTCAGGGTGCCGCTGACCCCACATAAGCCATGAAGACATCACACTGCACCGACTCCAAAAGCATAGACTTGTCTGAGAGCCTACAAAGCTCCTCACCTGACCCCTGAGGACAAAGCTGTGACACCCCCTGCCCATTACCAGACACCATGCACTTGATGGAAAAGGAGGCCAACACCCATGCAGGAGGAGAATCCCTTGTCTTTAGAGGAAATTAATTCTGCTCTGGGTGCTCAAGTCCCCACTCATCCCCATAGCCCTCCTGTCCCCCAGGTCTGCAACTTCTCATCTCACACCTTCCCCTCATCAGCATGCTGAGCCCTCTCCCAGGTTACCAGCAACCTTCTGTTCGCCTCCTTCCCTCTTTATTTTACTCTCAGCTCCTCTCCACACAGTCATGCAACTTGCATTGACGTTTCAGTTAACTACACACCATGCTAACCACAGTGGTCCCATAAGATACATTGCAGCCAAAAAAAAATCCGATCACCTAGTGACATTGCAGTCATTGCAATAGGACAAGTTACTCTTGTGCTTGTGGGGATGCTGTTTGTTTAAAGTATGGCATGGGTAGTTATGTGCAGTACAGAGAATGTGGTGAGATGATTAATGACTATCTTACTGGTGTATGTATTTTATTAGTTTAGAATGAATTTCTACTTGAAAAGAAAAGTTCAAGGATGGGGATGTAACTCACTGGTACAGTGCTTGCCTGGCATGTGTGAAGCCTGGATTTCACATCCCCACCCAGCACTAAAAAATAATTATTTAAAAAAATAAGAACTGAGTAATGTGGCTTAAGTGGTAGAGCACTTGCCTAGCAAGCACAGGCCCTTAGTTCAATCCCCGGTGCCACTAAATAAATAAAGAGTTAGTAGTTTAGAGGGCAGAATGCCTACCTGGCATGGATAAGGCTCTAGCATCGTCAAGAAAAAAAAATCACTGTGAAAAACTATGCCGTGTTACACTGCAGCCGCTGCATATGTCTCTGTTTCCATATTATGTCTCTTGATGGTGTCAAGGTGCTAATCCAGTGATTGACCTATATTAAAGAGTGTGAGTACACCTTGTGAACTTAAACAAATCAATGGCTGGTGCATTTCTCAGAACTTATCCCATTATTAAGCAATGTGCGGCTGTAGTTATAAAATAAGTTATCCAAGGTACTTCCATTGCCACACTTACCAGCACATCACAGTCAGAACCACACCACTCGACACTCTATGAGCTCATCCCCAATCTTCTAGAAGCTGATTTAGTGAACACCATTAGCATCCCTTTTGGCTTTTCAATAACAGTTGACACTGCAACCACTCTTTCTGTTAATATTCTCTCATCGGAGCTGGGCATGGTAGTGCACGTCTGTAATCCCAGTAATCCAGAGGGCTGGATTGGGAGTTCAACACCACCTAGACTACAAACCAAGACACTGTCTCACCACCAACAACAAAAAAGGCTGGGCACCAGTGGCTGAGTTGTAATCCTAGCTACTCAAGAGGCAGAGATCAGGAGTATCGCAATTCAAAGCCAGCCCAAATAGTTCATAAGACTCTATCTTTAAAAAACCCTTCACATAAAAGGGCTGGCAGAGTGGCCCAAGGTGAAGGCCCTGAGTTCAAACCCCAGTGCTGCAAAAAAAAAAAAAAAAAAAAGCAGTACTGCCAAAAAAAAAAAAAAAAGAGAGAAAACCCTTTCTCATCAGCCCTTCTGAGTGTATCCATGGAAAACAGAAAGGAAAACTGTCCAGGTGTTTTTTGATTTTTTTTTTCCTATTCTCTCACTCAACATACCTCTAATCACCAGGAAGCATGGGAAAATCTCTCCCTATCAACAACCATTCAATCAATTCTGCAGCAGACACCAGGCTGAGATAGCATCCAAGTCCACAGGTTGGGGCTGAAGGCATCAGTGAAGTGGTAGAGTGTAGGTTGACGACTCCATTCCACAATACTGGGCTGGGATGTAGCTTGGTGGTACAGCGCTTGCCTAGTATGCGTGAGGCCCTGGATTCGATCCCAGCACCAAAAAAGAAAAAAAAGACAAAAAAAAAAACCTCTCCCACAAGACTGCTCCATCATCAGATCATAATCACAAGAAATAGAAGTACAACTTGTCAACTATAACACTGCTGTAAGTTGGAGTTCCCAATACTTCCACCTCAGCTCGATTAATTTGCTAGACCAACTGAAGGAAACACTTTATTTACATTTACCAGTTTGTTATAAAGGATATTACAAAGAATACAGATGAAGAAATTCATAGAACACATTATACAGGAAGGCTCTCACCACCCTCCAGGAACCTCCATGTGTTCAGCTATCCCAATCTCCCTGTCCTCATCTCTTTGGCGTTTATGGAATTTCATAGGCAGACATGATTATTAAATCATTGACCATTGATGATCAACTTAACCTTGACGAGCCTGTCCCCTCTCTAGGAGCTGGAGAGTGAGGTTAAAGATCCAGCAATCTAATTAAGCCGTGCCTTTCCTCTGCCCAGCTCCCATGCTGAATCTATTTAGAAAGCCCCAGCCACCAACCATCCATTAGCATACAAAACTACTCATCATTCTGGAAATTGCAAGACTTAACAGAAGCTGTGTCAGGAGACCTAACAAAGACCAAATACAAATGTCACATCACAGTCACCTGCCTCTCTTGGCTGAGTCCTCTTTATTGACATCAAGCCTCTCGGTTAGAATATGGCAATGGCTTCATTAGAAGACAAAGACTTAAATTGGGGATAGGGTTCACGCTGTACTCCCAGCACTAGGGAGTCTGGGGCAGGAAAATCTTAGGTTTGAGGTCAGCCTAAGCTGACCTAACTCAAAGACCCTAATTCAAAATAAACAGACCACTGGAGGAGCAGTTTGAGAGCAGTGGCTACGAGGGACAGAGGGCAGATGGATCAGCAGGGAGGCAGCAGGGTGCCACTAGGCCAGTACTAAGGCTCTACCATGCTGCAGCTGCCCCCAAGCTCCACCCTCACTGCAGAGCCCAGCCGGTGAGCTAACATTAGTTTCTAGAGCCAGCAAGCAGGCAGAGGCAGCTCTGGGCCTTGTGTCTACTTTCAGTGCCTCCTGAGGCTGCAGTGAGGACTGGGGAAGAATGGTATGGAGCAGTGTGAAACCATGGTAAAGTCAATGTTAAGCTCAACCACAAGGAACCATCGACCCACATCTTGGCCTAGAGTGGACCGTGAAACAGCTCAAGCTCCTCCACCAATGCCAGGAAGAGGCCACTCAGAGCTGAAGATCCATGGGAATGAGCTCCTAGAGACGGGCAGAGTGACCAGCCGGCTGCCAGGGTCAAGAGGCTGCTGGCTGACTGTTACAAACCTACTGAGGCCTTCATCTCTGGACTGCTGGACAAGATCCAGGGCATGCAGAGGCTAAGCTCACCCCAGAAGTATGGGTGCCCAACTCAGGTGAACTCCCACTGGACAACTTAACCAACCAGCAAGAGAACACCTGAATGCCCATGGCCAGGACTGGTACCATGAGGAGGTCTCCGTGCCCCTGCCTTTCCCTTGCCCCTGTTTGCCATTTTGGGGTGTTGGGATTTTTTTGTTTTGCTTTGTTTTTCATTTTGGGGGGTTTGTTTGCTTTTTGCTATTACTAAACTGATGAGACTTTTTTTTTTTTTTTCAAAAAGAAGCTGTTTGAAAAATTCAAGTGAGAGAGCTGACAGAGTGGTTCAAGCAGTACAGCACCTGCTTAGCAGGTGTGAGGCCCTGAGTTCAAACTCCAGTGCCATCAAAAAAAAAAAAAAAGAATGTGAAAACTATTTAAATGACACATAATTTTGCTGGATGTGGGTAGCTAGCTGTAACCCTACTCTCAGGAGGCAGAGATCAGGAGGATTGCAGTTCGAAGCCAGCCCAGGCAAATAGGTTGTGAGACCCTACCTCATAAAAACCCATCACAGAAAAAGTGCTGGTGGAATGGCTCAAGGTTTAGGCCCTGAGTTCAAACCCCAATCCCCGCACCCCCACAAAAAACAAAATTTCAAGTGAGTATATATTTGTGTAATCTTGGGTGAAGAGATTCAAATGCAGCTTTCACTTTCAGGGGAAAGTTCCAAAATGAAGAATCAGGAAGTTTTACTAGTCACCTATTCAAGATTCCAGGAACATCCTTACCACACCCCTACACACCTCTCACAAGCCTACCCAACTTGTGGCCATCAGGGCCAATGCTGACTGCCTGGAGTTTACCAGGTTAAGCACAGTTGTCTCCCTGCCTATCTTAAGGCAGCTGTTAGAGTCTCCATCTGGACCCCTTCTATCTGTTGTGCCCAATTGTCTGTATTTTAAGACCAGGAGAATCCTGGGCCTCTTAGGAAGGTCCCTTCTTTTAAGAAGTCCCTGTTTTCACTCATCTCAGAGTAACCTGACCAGGCTTCTGATCTAAGAGAAGCAACTCATGAAAGAGACACCTTGGCTGGTACTCGCTGGAGACATTACCTCTGCCCAGAGGAGCCCCTTCAGGGCTGGGTAGGCTCGTCCAAAGGAAAGAGGACACACAGAGGCATTACGCCTTCGTAACTTGTTTTATTGGGTATCTTTTCCAATAGAACCCTTCCCTACATTTAGGAGACTTCCCTTAGACACATGCCTAGAAGTTGGGCCACAAATTCACACTTCTGTTAATGTCCCTCATCGTTCTCACAGGACTGGTCAAGACTTCTCCTCCCATCTCCCTTCCCCAGGGAGGTCAGTCTTCATTACGGGTAGAGTGAGCTCCAGTAGAATCCCAAACGAAGCAGTTTGTGAGGGAAAGTGTTGGGAACTTCAAGAGAAATGGTCCCACTAATCCTGCTAACAAAAGGCAGATCCCAGGTGTCTGACTGCATCTTGCTAGAGGTAGCCAGGTCGTCCTTGGTTAGGGGCTGGCTCCGAACACGCCGCAGCATCTCGAGGCCTGTGGAAAGAGTGGCCAGGAATGGTGAAGCAGGGCCTATGACTAGAACCAAGACACCCATGGGACAGAGTGGCGGAGAGAGTCATTCCAGCCCAGGCTCTTCCAGGTGACCCATCAAATCTTCCCCACTACCTTTTCCTCCCTCAGTGACTTCACAACACAAGAATAGTAACTTTGCCCTACTCCTCAACCAATGGACTCAGGCAGCATCTGGATTTCCAACCACCCAAGTGATTCTGTAAGAATTTGAGATGCACCAGTGCAGTGGCTCAAGCCTGTAATCCTAGCTACTCAGGACATGGATATCAGGAAGATTAGGGTATGAGGCCAGCCCTAGAAAAAAGTTCAAGAGATCCCATCTCCATCAATAAAAAGCTGTGCGTATTGGTGCACACCTGCTATCCCAGTTATTCCAGAGGTGTAAATAGAAGGATCCAGGTCCATGCCAGCCTAGGAATAAAGCAAGACCCTATCTAAATAATAACCAACACAAAAGGGGCCGGCAGAGTTGTTTAAGTGGTAAGAGTGCCTGCATAGCAAGCATAGGCTGAGTCCAACCACTAGTACCATACACACACGCAAAAAAAATTTTAGATGTGAGGGACACCTACCTCGGGCTCTACTGAAATGGTCCCGACTCCCCAAACTCCAGACCATGTCCACCAGCCACTGCCTTGCCTGAAGGGGTCCGACAAGAGTGACTCGAGTCTGGCCTGTGGCTGTGAACCACTGCTCCAGCTGAATGAGGGTGTGACTGTGCAGCTCAATGCAGCGAAGGTATGCGTCCCCTTGGCCTGTGGACATAAGAGGTCAGGGGAAGACAGGTAAACCACCAGCACTGGGGTCAGAGCCTGGTGCAGAGAGGAGAGAGGTGAGAAGGAAAGATTGGAAACTATGAACAGGGGTAGGAGAAGTGGGCAAAGGCCACTCACCAAATATGTACTCCTCCAGGTCCTCTTCCAGGTAAAACACCAGTGGAGCACTGAAGTGTCCAGGCACGGCCCACCAAGCTCTGTGGCCAAGAGAGCTCATTTCCGTGTTGCTGCCCTGCTCTTACTATCCAGAATGAACAAGTCCAAGCAATTGGCTGGACAAAGTGAAGAAGGGCCCATCTCTCTCACATATACTCACTCCAGCAACCCACCCTTTGCCACACCCTAGTGAGGGGCCTGGAGCTCCTCCCAGGAAAATCCACTCCATCAATTGTAAATTTGATCATTTAATCCTTTCACTCCAAATTTAACCCTTTCATCCCAAACTAGATAACCTAATCTATGTTTGCTTTTCTGATGCCCAGAACCCAAACTTTCCTTCACTCTAATTTCAAAGGAATTTGGAACACATCTACTGAGCACAGAGTGGTGCAAAGGTTGAGGAACGGCTGTGCTGTGGCAGAAAGGCTCCAGAATGGGCTCCCTAGATTTCCTCAGGTCCCAGCAGTGACCCAAGCAAAGCAAGGTTTATTTAGGGTGCTGCCTTAGGGACACAGAAGCCAGCTTTCTAACATAGGGTAATTATCTCAATAATTTTTATCTAGGAGGTTAGGAGATCAAAGTGCTCTCCATTGCAAACTCATCTTTACCTAATTTCAGTTTCACAGCAGCCTCTCTACCTCTGTTTCCATCATTATGGCTGAGTGGTCTTGACTGCTGAAAATATTTTGCAAGACACACAGTTATGTTTAGTAGAGATTAACGTTCACTTGTCATTTTCCAAATGCAAGTTCTTACCAGGGTTTTGGGTTTTTTTCCACTTTTAAGCCTCCCCTTTTCACCTAAGGCAGACAAAGTGAATTCTGAGGACTGTAAGCTTTGGGTTTCAGATCCACACCAATGTCAGACTCCACCAATCTCAAGAGGAATCCTTTGCAGCTTCATACAGTCAGCGTCTCCTGGGCCTTTCATTGTAAAATGGGATATTGCATCATCAGAAAAGACAATGGAGTTTTAAACGTCATGGTTTTTTTCTTTCTAGTTTTCCTAAATATTCACTTGAGACAATGACTTTTTCAAATAAAATACACTTTTAAACTGTTCTTTAGTAATAGCCACAGTGAAATGTGTAGAGCATATCCCTGAAGAATAGGTTTGGCTTCCTCAGACCCAGAATTGCAATCAAGCAGTTTTGTGATCAGATCCTTGACTATCCATCAGGAACATCCTCTGTCCATTCTGGAATTCAGTGGACAATGGGCAGAACACATTTATAAGGCAATTGCTTTCATTAATGCTACTTGTTCAGGAGCCTAGTGGTGACTAAGTTATTTCCTCAGGAATCTCAGTTCGTGTCCTTTGAACAAGTCTCCACTTTTGTAGATGGCTCCCTCCATTTCACTATCACCTAAACAGCAAAGCTTCAAAAAGTTCTTTCATTTCTTGCCATTTTTAATCATATGTTCACAAGGGGTCAGAAAACCTATTTCCTATTTTTTTCTGAAATAAGCCAACCCAATTGAATTTCTACTGACAACATAAATATTTGATGTTTTTTACTCACATTTGCAGGCAAACTCAAGTGAGGGAAAAGAATTCAGGCATTTGGGCTGATTTCACTTGTGGGAGAAGGTTATTTTCTGATGGTGTATTTACATATTAGAATATTTGACAAACTTTAGTTTATATTTTTAAGTGTGAACCATTAACAAGCCACATATATAAAAATAAATAAATAATCTTAAACAAAGGAGTTTCCAAACCAACTGTACTGAGCATGGACAGCTCCCTAACTATCTGTCAGAAACTTTAGCTCTCCCTCCCCAGGATGGGAAGCAGAATTGGTGTGAGTTAAGGAGGACACCAAGAAATACAAGGGACTTTAATTATTCTATGAAGTTTAGTATGAACGTCACTAACTGGCTTAGAAATCAATGTATTGGCCAGGAACAGGAGGATCATGGTTTGAGGCCATCCCAGGCAAAAGTTAGCAAGACTTCCATCTCACTGATATGCTGGGCATGGGGCACACACCTGTGCAAGTAAGCAGGGCAATCCATCCAGGCTACCCTGTGCAAAAACTCAACACCGTGTTGGACAAGGAACAAAAGGGGCTAAAGTCGTGACTGAACTGGTAGAGCACCTACCTAGCAAGGTCAATGACCTGAATTCAAATCCCAGTTTAACTAATGTCTTGCCAGGCATGGTAGCTCATCTTTTTTTATTCCAGCACTTGGGAGATAGAAGCAGGAAGATCTAGAATTTTCTGGGGTTTCATAGCTTGTTTCAGACCAGCCTGAGCTATATAGTGAGGCCCTTTCTCAAAAAACCAAGGGCTGGGAATATAACACAGTGGTTGAGACTTCTTTAATCCACAAAAGCAACATGTTGACTTTTATTATGTCAGTCCATACAACAAACAAAAGGATATTTTTAACTTTAGAAGCACACAATTATTTTATTATAATTGACTACAGAACACTCAATATTCTTTTTTTTTTTTGACAACACCAGGGCTTGAACTCAGGGACTCACGGATGCTAGGCAGGCGCTCTTACCACTTGAGCCTCTCTTCCAGCCCCAATGTTCTTTTGATTTGTCTTTTTTGTTTTTTTAAATCTTATTCTAAGTTTGGTAACTAAAAAGGCATTCATAATATATTTGAGGTACTCAAAACTTAGAGAATATTAAGCAAACCCAAATGTTCCTATTACTTTCTTTGATAAATTAAAAAAGCAAATATTTTTTAATGATGTACATTCTAAGAAACCAAATTTTTTTTTTTGAGATGGGTTCTAACTGTCAGGGGAGATGAAGGACAGGTTCTTGGTCTTCTCAAAGAAAGAATTCAGGAGAAGACACACAGCTGAGTTTGAACAGGGCAGATTTTTTTAAACAAAAACTAGATTTTGAAAAAATTATTACACAATTTCAAAGCAACAGTATATTCCCAAAGGAAACTGACCACAGAGTCAAGGGCACAGTGCTTTGGGGTCTTAGGCACTTCTATGTATAGGATTTAATGATTATGCTAAGAATATGTACAGAACTGGGGAGTTTTCCAAGAGATAGGAGGGCATTTCCAGGAACAGGGAATGGTTTACCGAATAAGGTGTTATCAGACAGAGCTAAGGTAGAGACAAATGAGGCCTCTGGCTAACCTTACAGTTGCAAAAGTCCACATTGGTGTCATTGCTAGGGACTGTTGGCTGCTGTACCAAGAGGAACCTCGACCATAGTCATCCATTACTCCAGGATAAAAGTAAAGCAGAATGTTTGGCGAAACGTTCCCAGATGTGATGCTGCACCTGCTTTCTGGCTCCTTCTGCTATTGGTCCCTTTCTACCTACCCCACAGCACCACTATGTTGGCCAGGGTGGCCTTTTGTTCCTGAGCCATGGGCTCCTCAGCCTGGCTAGTAGCTAGGAGCACAGGGGACGTCACCACGGCCAGCTTCCAAATCAAATACATCTTAATAGTTTGAGTATTTTGAACATGGGATCTGAGTTTTAGAAAACAAGATTAAAAGCTATGACTTCTAGAGTGCCGTGAGTTGAAACAGAGAAAATGTATGATTCAGATGTATTTTTGCCCACCGACCCACCCACCCCCCCCCGGACCCCACCCCCACCCCCCCCGGATCCACACCCGACCCCGACGACCCCTGCCCCCACCACCCCCCACCCCACCACCCCATTGACGAAACCCCACGAACCCCCTGACCCCTCCGACCTCACCCCCCGACCACCACCGACCCCCGGACCCCACCCACCTCCCACCCCGAAGAATGCGAGCTGAGGCAGGAAAACGGGGAAGTATGATTTGGTCGAGATTGGGGTGGAGACTGACCAGATCAAATGTCATGAAAGTCCTGCCTAGGACATGCCTCCTTCAGGAGATAGCTGATTCGAAATGTCCTTGGAACTCCTTCTTATGGTAAACTCAATAGTCACTGCTACACTGTGATAAAAGAGGATGTTTGTGGGCTGGAGGTGTGGCTCCAGTGGTAGAGCACCTGCTTTGCACAGAGCACCGAGTTCAAACCCCAGTCCCACAAAAAAAAAAAAGAGATGTTTGTCCAGAATGGAAAACCGGAGCTAGGCATGACCTGATGGCTGGGATCTGGCCCTCAGATGACATTTGAGACATCCCCTACTTAAGACTTCACAGGTGAACTGTATCTCACGCATGCAATCACAACCGAATGCATTATGGGTAAGAATAACATCTGCCAATCAAACCTGTGACACCCTAGCCCCTCCTGCAAAGACTGCCAGAATTTTCCTTCCTTTTGTTCTTACAACCTATAAGTTGTGCTTAGAACAAAGATGGGGCTTCTGAGCCATTTGGCTAAAGTCCACTGCTCTGTCTTGCACAGTTTCCTCCTGACTGCACTTTCTTTCTTTTTCTATACTGGGGCTTGAACTCAGGGCCTTCACCTTGAGCCACTCCACCACCCCTTTTTCCGGGATAGGATCTTGAGAACCATTTACCCGAGCTGGCTTCAAACCTGATCCTCCTGATCTCTGCCTCCTGAGTAGCTAGGATTACAGGCGTGAGCACCAGCTTTCTTTTTCTTACAATAAACCTTTACTAATGCTTTGTAATCTGTGTCTCTGTCCAGTGCTTTGTTCGGAGATGCAAGGACCTGAGATCTTCTTGAACAGGGTCTTCAGAAAGCACCCTGGGTACCAGAGCCAGTAAGGTTTTCTAATTTAAAGATTTAGGGCAAGAGGTTCCCCAAAAATATGTTTTTTAAAACCAGATTTGAAACCAGATGCCGGTGCCTCACTGCCTGTAACCCTAACTACTCAGCAGGCAGAGATCAGGAGGATCGTGATTCAAGGTCAGCCCGGGGCAAATAGTTCCACGAGACCCTATCTTGAAAAACCCTTCACAAAAAAGGGATGGTGGAGTGGCTCAGGATGAACGCCCTGAGTTCAAACTCCAGCACTGAAAAATAAATCAGAGTTGAGGCTGACTGCTGCCCCCAGTTACCTTTCACCTCTTCCTTCTGCAGAAGCCAGTGCAGCAGGCCTCAGTCCTAATTTGAGGCTGCACCTAGGAAAACTCGCCAGGGAGTTAGTCAGTGAGGGGAGC